GTCTATACAATTTTTTTTAACTGTAAGACATTTACTTGAAATGACAATGTCAAAAATCACTTGGATCGGTTTTTTGTAAGCAACGATCAAAACTTTTATGAATGTGAAATCGTGCTACTACCAGAAACGATGACAACGGGTATTTGACCAAAATGGTCAATATATAATTCGATAAAATATTTATTTATTATAAAAATATTGTGTTTTTTTCCACGGAAAAAAACAAACTACTTTCCGAACAACCCAATAATTTCTTTAAAAACACAATCTCATCCTTGTAATTAAGCCTTGCCTTTTTGTATTAATTAATAATATAAGTATTATTTTTAATGAAATCTCGTAACATATACGTCACATTCAACTTCAACTTAGTAAATTACAAGTGCCGGGAAGTCGTCTTATTTTTAGTTTCGTTAGCTACAACATTACGGAATGTCTTGAAAATTGATTCGATCGACTAATTTTGGAAACAGTGAGTTGCTGTTTTTTATTCACTGAATCTGATAATGAGCTGTTTGCATACAAGTCTTATAATTGATACAAATTTATTATTGTTGTTAAGCTTCATACTTCATTTATTAGAAACTTATGACGATCATAGGATTTGTAAAAAGCAGCGGAGCGAGATAACTCAGGAAAGGTAGGGAAGGGTTAACCAGTAGTTGCTTTATTTTTTTTAAATCCCACTGTTAAAGATAATTCAATTATGAGTACTGTAGTGTGAACAAAATTTAAAGTGGATTCCTTATAGCAGTAGACAGATTCTGGCTAACCATAAACATTAAGAATTAATAACGAATTTGTAAGCTTATCCTCATTACAAGGATATTTGTAAAATTTTTTGTAGTTTAGATATTATTGAACCAATTCAAAATACATGAAGCAAGTCCTCACCTAACTTTTTTTTCGTTATAATGTTGTTGAGAAAAGATACATTTGTAATCATAAGAAAAATATTTTAAGTGCTGAATTTATTGTTTTATGTTAAAATTAATTTATGTTCGTTAAAATTTGATTAAGAGAAAACTCTCCCTTGTTAGTACTTATTTCATTTATTTCACTTTACTAAACATCATAAAATCCTCCATTCTTGGCTGACGTAGCATAGTGCTTATGCAAATGAATTATGTCATACAATGCAGTTCATTTACCGAAACCATTCTTATCAGAAAGTACATTACTGTTACAATGGTAATTTCATTGTTCTGTGAATTTCTGTATTTGAAAGTTATATTAAAATTCTTCCACCAGTTATAATTACTGAAAACATTCATATTATTAAACTCGACCAAACGAATGCCTTAATTAATCAGGCTATAAAGGCTGATATATAAGGCATTTGTTTGGTTGTGTATCGATGTATCTGGCTTCGGGAAGTTTATTATATACACATAATTAAAGTATGTATTTTATTTAAAGTTGCCTTAAACTGAGA